CGTGTCCACACGTGTGTGCGGCTGTTGTCAATGTACTGCCTGTCATGATTCAAGAACACCCTGGAACTCTTCATCCGGATCGGCGATGGGAGCACAGCAAGCCAACGCTGCCCTGTTGCCAAGTCCTGGTCTCCACACAAAGCCAAGATGGGAGAGGCAGAAGGCTGCCCGTCTGCGGCACAGCTCACTTCAGATGTGTTCTGGATGGCTCTGGAGACAGGCCAGCATCTCTGCCATGGGTCTGCCTTCATAGCAGATCTGATACACGGCAGTGAACAGCGGAAACCTGGGTGGGAGGAAGAGAGGGTGGCAAGGTTGGTGATCTGCTTCACCCCTAGAGCACATTCATCCTCTGCCCCGCCCCCCCAGCAGGCTGCAGCATGACAGGCTGCTCTGGACAACAGTGACCATGCTCTGTGTGTCTTCACAATCGCAAAGCACAGAGACTTGGTAAGACACACGGGTATGCCAGGCACCTCTGGCTCATGCTTGTGATCCCAGCTACTCAGGAGGCTGAGCTGTAAGGATCACAGTTCAAAGATGACCTAGGTAGGAAAGTCCATGAGACTCTGACCTCCATTTTTTTTTAAAGCCAGAAGTGGAGTCATGGCTCAGTTGATACGAGTGTTAACCTTCAGGGAAAAAGCCAAGCCAGCACACAAGACCCTGAGCTCAAACTCTAGTTCTGGTATGGGCATGTGCACACCACACACACAGGTAAGCAAGGCACAGGATTGTCCTTCAGGGTAAATGGCAACCAGGTTCAGAAAAGAGCGGTGGCTTGGGACCCTGGCTGACTCTGGATGAGGCCAAGTTCCTGTTGCTATTTGAAAAGACCAGAGGATAAATTTTAAGTTGTACCCAAAGAGCACTATCCCAAGGAGACAGAGAGGCTGCTCGGTTTCATTTATTTTGCCCAAATGAAAGTGTGAAATGGACAAGGAGGAAGAAGATGAGGGGAGGAAGGCTAGGACTGGCAGCCACTGGGAGGAAAGATAACATAATCAGGGTACAGCTGCCCAGCCTGCCCCTGTGTGTGTGTGTGTGTGTGTGTGTATTTGTTGTTTTCATGGCAGAAATCAGTAAAGTAACCTCAATCAGCCTTTTTCAAAACAAAGAGGGGAGAGGTAGGAGGGGGAAAGAGAGAGAGAGAAAAGGCAGAGAGAGTATGAGACAGAGAGAGAGAGATAGAGAGAGACAGACAGACAGACACACAGAGCAAGCCCAATGTGAGTTTGATACTATCAATATAGCCTTAGAGGCTATTCTGAGAATCAATTGATTAGGCTCCAATAAAGGCAATTTAAGAGAGCAAACACAGAAATACAGACTCTTATCTGTTACCCTAATTACTCAGGAGGCTGAGATCTGAAGATCACTGTTTGAAGTCATCCCAGGCAGACAAGTGACTTTTTTTTTTTGGCCTGTCCTTGGACTTGAACTCATGGCCTGGTGCTGTTCCTGGACCTCTTTGTGCTCAAAGCTAGCACTTTACCACTTTAGCTGAAGGACCTACCCCCACCCTGTGTTCCCAGGTGCATACAGATGTCAAGCAAGCCACCAAAGATATGTGCAGACTACCTGATGTGGGCAGGGCGCTCCACTTAAGCTGTAAATGTTCCATTGTGGGCCTACTAACCTCTGCCTCCCTGCTAGACCTCAATTCCTAAACCCACTCCTTGCACAGTTTCCAAGCCTGAGGGAAGACTGTGCCCCTCACTGCAGTATCTTAATACACAGTCCCTTGCCAGTGGGAGATGGAGTCCAGCCTATTTCTTTCCTTTCACCTCCATTTTCCTAACATTAAGCCACAGTGTCACTTCAGCTTTTTCTGAGTAGAGTAGTCTCGTGGACTTTCCTGCCAGAGATGGCTTTGAACCTCAATCCTCAGATCTCAGCCTCCTGAATAGCTAAGGTCACAGGTGGTACCATCCGTGCCCAGTGAAACTCTTTCCCCTAACCAGCAAAATGCCAGAGTGGAGAAGTGGCTCAAGTGGTAGAGTGATTTAATTCATTAGGAAAAGGACACACAGACCTTTCCTATTTTATTATTTGTGCCAGTCCTGCAGCTTGAACTCAAGGGCTGAGTGCTGTCCTTGAGTTTTTGTTTTGTTTTTGCTAAAGGCTGGCACTCTACCACTTGAGCCACAGCTCTACTTCCAGCTTTTTGGTGGTGAATTGGAGACAAGAATCTCAGGGACTTTCTTGCCCAGGCTGGCTTCTTCCTGTGATCCTGAGATCTCAGCCTCCTTGGCAGTTAGGATTACTGGCTCAAAAGTGAAGAGTTTTTAGTAATTCTAACTAGCTTCTGAAGTAGACATTGGAGCCCTTCAACTTCAAGCCTCCTCCGCTGTGAGCACGCTGACTACTTCACTCTGACAGCCCTAACTAACTAATGAAGTCTCATCACACATGCTCACAAAGATGCAAGGGCCAGGAAGCTAATCTAAGAAATTTTATATTAGCAGAAAACTGCACATAGCTTCAACTATCTACAGAGAGAAGATTGGTTGAATAAACTGCGTATTTTCTGTGAGGTTCTTTCTAGAACTAGCCTGACCCATGGTCTAAATCTGTCCCTGGCAGGGACAGTTATTCATGGCTGGAAGGGATGAAGAGGCTTCAGGGAACAACAGCCTGGGGCCACTGAGGTTGGCACATGGGAATGCTCACATCCTGTCAGACGCACACATGGGTGCTTGCACAAAGTCTAGTTGGCACTACACCAGACCGTGAGGGCTGTGTCAAACGCCAGCCTGTAGATCTGAACTTCACTCTGTCAGAGTGGGAGGTCTCTGTGCTTCATCTTCAAGGTAGAACAATCATGAACTAATCAAGTCCATCTTTACTGTGTGGATTGTTTCAGCAGGGCTGAAAGACGTGCGGCTGACACACAAGGTAGCAAGAATGCTGCGCCCCTAATACCTACTCCTTTACAGCAGTGAGGAAGAAAAAAGGAGGGAAGAGGACAGGAGACCAGAGGGGTCTTGCAGAAAAGAGGCAAGAAAGAATTCAAAGGTGGCTCACTCCTATAATCCTAGCTGCTCAGGAGGCTGAGATCTGAGGATTGTTGTTTAATGCCTGCCCAGGCAAGAAAGTCTCTGACTCATTCCAGTTAACTACCAAAAGGCTAGAAGTGGAGCTGTGGTTCAAATTTGATGGAAAAAGCTAAGTGATAGTGCCTAGGACCTGAGTTCAAACTACAGAACCTACATCCGCATACCAACACACATAACACACCCATAAGACACACACTCAAAAAAGATTACCTTTTGTTTTTATCAAAAGCTATCATTATGTGAATAAAGTGTCAACTAATTCAGAAGAGAAGGAAGAGCAAGTTGTCCCAGGATTCTGTGCTCAGGTTGAATGGATGGCTTCATGGGTCTCACCCTGGGGCTGGCTGGCTACCTCCTTTCTGCCCACCCTTCCGGGCCAGGCGAAGCTGTGGGTGGGTGGGCTCAGGTCAGCTGCCTGGCCACACTGATTGGGGAAGAAGTACACAACATCTTGACAACTCAAGTTGCCAACCTCTCCTAGCTCATTCTTCACACATCCTGGGGAAGAGAATGACCTGTAAATGGTGCCTAACAAAATGCCTGTATGTACCTGGGTTTCTACCTGTTTAGTTCACACTGGTGAGTTGCTGTGTGAGTGGACTACTCAACCAACCACTGCATAAGAGGTTGGTTGCTTCATTATCTATTCTTTTGTGCCTCTTGGAATCAAACTCAGGGACTTAACACATGCTAGGCAAGTGCTACTGAACTCATGTATGACTGATTTATAGAAATCTCAAGCTTCTTGTTTATTTATTTATGTCAGTTGTGAGGCTTGAACTCAGGGCCTGAGCATTGTCCTTGAGCTTTTTCGCTCTACCACTTTGAGCCACAGCTCCACTTCACTTTTTAAAAATGTAAAAGCCGCCGGGCGCTGGTGGCTCACGCCTATAATCCTAGCTACTCAGGAGGCTGAGATCTGAGGATCGCGGTTCAAAGCCAGCCCGGGCAGGAGAGACCGTGAGACTCCTATCTCCTATAAACCACCAGAAAACGGGAAGTAGTGGCGCTGTAGCTCAAGTGGTAGAGCGCTAGCCTTGAGCTGAAGAGCTGAGGGACAGCGCCCAGGCCCAGAGTTCAAACCCCACGGCTGACAAAAAAAAAAATGTAAAAGCCCTTTCCGAATTCCCAAGCAGAACAAAGAAGAATTTATGACTTCACACACTATGATATTTTAGAGAACAGAGACCTCACTGCAGTTTGTGTAGTGGCTTTGTGCCATGAATTTATGTTCACAAAGGATTGAACATTAGTTCCCAGTGAAGTTCTAGAAACACAGCAAACAGCTGCATTCACCTACAATCAAAGACCAAGTGTCACTTACTTGTCAATGAGTCCCTTTTGTTTGAGGATGCGGTACACTTCAGCTGTGGCCTGGGGTCCTTAAAGCTTCTCTCCACTCAGCTTCTCCTTTTCCAGTTCTTCGGTGATCTTAAAAGAAAAACATAAAAATAAAAATCTGGTGTAAAATCCTAAAAAAATATTCAAGAGAAGGAGGAGGTCAGGCACCGGTGGCTCATGCCTATAATCCTACATTCTCAGGAGCCTAAGACCTGAGGACTGTGGTTTGATACTAGCCAAGTCAGGAAAGCCTGTTAGGCTCTTTATCTCCATTTAACCACCAAAAACCAGATATGTGGAGCTGTGGATCAAGCGGTAGAGTGCCAACTATGAGGGAAAAAGCTAAGCAAATGTGCCTAGACCATGAGTTCAACCCAGTATCAAGAGGAAGAAAAGTTAAGTGCCCAGCTGTAAGCCAAGGAAAGATAAAGGCAGAAGATGATACGGGGGCAGGCAAGAGCAAGCAGGCAGGGCAAACAGAACAAAGAACCTAAGTTGAGTAAGGGTACAGGTGTGGCTCACCCAGCTCCAGGAGTCTCAGGTGGAGGAGGAAGAAGGCAGCGGAGGAGAGCAGGAGGAAGAGGGGCAGGCCAGTGCTACCTTCCCAGTCCTGGCAAAGGCCTCGGCCACCCTGCGGTTTCGTCCTCCATAGCAGGTGGTGATCAGGTCAGCCACCCCACAGCTCTCCAGGAAGGTGCCGGTGGACACCTGGCCCTTGCAGAAGATCCTGGCAAAAGCGATCATTTCCATGAGGCCCAGGTGGATGACGGCAGCCTTGGTGTTGTCTCTGCACTGGAGGCCATCGCAGAACCCAGCTCCCACAGCCACGATATTCTGCAGGAATGACAAAGCCAGGACCGTGAGGGAATGCACATAGAACCTGCACGGCACTGGAGGTGCTCAGCGACTGCACAATGGAAGAAGCCAATAGTAGTCTCGTTGCATCCCCACTGGACACTCACTTATGCCTTAGGGATTGTTTCTTAAAGAAAACAATGCTTTCTTCAGCTATTATAAACTCATACAGAAAAGTGGGTAAAGTCCAAGTGGACACTGATGAATTTCTACAAGCTGACTGCACCTACAAAGTAAGATCCAGAAATAGCATAACAGGTACCTCAGAAAGACCCCACTCCCTTCCAGCCCCTATCCACCAAAGTTGACCCCCTGCCCCTCTGTCACACATGGACTCACATGACCCAACTAAGTGTTATGTGAATGGAGGCCAATAGCATGTAATCTTCCTTACTAGCTTCCTTGTCTCCTCAATGTCATGTTTGCACATGTACATATAGTACATGTATTTAATTGTTGTGCACTATTCCATTGTGTGGCCACACTGTAATGTGCTTATCCATTCTTCTGTCCCTTAGCCTTGGTAGATTTCATTACAAGCAGTGCCACTATGGCCCTGGCACATGTCATTTGGTGGACAGGTAGGAAAATCTTGAAAGGGACACCTGTATATGCTCACATGTCATTTGGTGGACAGGTAGGAAAATCTTGAAAGGGACACCTGTATATGCTCAGTCTTCATGGAACGGCTTCTCCTACACACACAGCCAAGGTGACAGTCATGCAGGACTTCTCAACCTGTTTTCAGGCTATCAGTGACACACTGCTTCTGTCTGCCACTGCAGATGCCCACAGCTGCCAGAGTCCAGGTGACCCACAAAGCCTAAAACACATTCTACCTGGGCTCATTTGTTGGCCTAGCAAGGAAAAAAAAATACCCAGTATGTACACAAATAACTAGCATTCAGCAAAACAATAAGCCAACATCACAAAATTCCTGAAAGTTCATTTCAACACATGCACTGGGGCAAGCCATGTAAATATGGATGAACGTCAAAGAGCCATGGACAGGCACTGTCTATGCTTGTCTATTAGGGAGGGGTGCCTGCCTGTGGGGACTGTGTAAAGATAGAATGTGACCCAGAACTAGTCCCCAGGGAGCCCATCATTTGTTGAGAAAAGAGATGCAATGGTGTTCATAAAAATAAAAAAAAAAAAACAGAAGAGCCAGGAACACCTGGGTCACACCTATAAGCCCAATGGCTTTGAAACCAGGCTTGGCAGGAAAGTCTTATCTCTTATTAAATAGCAAAAAGTGGGAAGTGGAACTGTGGCTCAAGTGGTAGAGCAGCACCCTTGTTAAGCAAAGACATGTTAAACAAGAATGAAATAAAAAAAAATTGAAAAAGTTAGGTACTAAGTTCAAGTCTCAGTAGCAGCACCAAAACTAAAGGAAGAACCGGGGACAGAAGGAGCCCCATCTGTGTTGGAAACGGCGCTGTGTGTGGGCTCCAGCAGCCTGTGAAGCGAGCTCCACCTGTATGCACCAGGCAGGAGATAGGGCAGGAGATAGGCTGCCAGTCCCTTGCTGAATTTGGGAATTGTGAGTGGGCTTCAGCAATTGGCGGAATACATCCAGCCCACCAGGTTTTTGCCAAGAGCACCCCTGGGAGGGAGGTTGAGCAGCCTAGCCTGCTGCTACTTGGCTGAAGTCAGTAACTGCATGTGGGCTCCAGCAGGTAGCTGACCGAGCTCCACCTTTGTGCCCCAGGCAGGAGCCCAAGCTGCCTAAGCTACCAGTCCCTGTCTGAAGTCAGGAATTGTGCACATGCTCCAGCAGCAGGTTGAGTGTATCTGCTCACCAGAACCTATCAAGAGTGAGCCCTATGTGGGTCAGGCTAGCAGCTGGAGGTTGGCCCCTCTCCCAGACAGAACCAAGACTGGACAAAGTCCCTCTCAGCCAGCCCAGGGCTGAGAGCAGGCTTCAACAAATGACCCAGGAACTAACACAGAGCCAAGCGAAGGCAACCATCTACTGACAAAAACAGAGTTTGGGATTCGATTCCAATAATCCTCATGCAAAAATGTAAAAAATTACAAGATTCATCAATAGCTAAGACAGAAAACCATCCACAAAGGCCATAACTGAAAAAAAAAAGAATACAAGCAGTACACACCTCGTTAAGACAAAATTAACACTTTGAGAACTGATATGGAAATAATAATTGGTTCAATTTCTTTCATGCAAACTGCAATAGAATCCATAGTTATCAGAGCAAATGAAATGGAAAATAGAATATCAGGTACTGAAGACAAAATGCAGCAACTGGAAAAAAAGTCACAGATATGTAAAAAACACTCATCATATACCAAAGGGAAGTTCAAGAACATGCAGACAATGTCAAGAAATTTAACCTTCGAATAATTGGGGTCAACACAGGTAAGGAATGCCAGAATAGAGGGATGTAACCCTTATTCAATAAGATTATTGCTGAAAGCTTCCCAAATCTTAAAAGAGAAAAATCTCATCTACATAACAGAAGCATACAGAACACCTAGCAAACAGGATCCCAGGAGGAATACTTCTAGACATGTCAGAGTAAAAACGCTAGATCTGAGTAACAAAGAGGCATGTGGCAAAATCAAAGGAGCTATACTACAATGGGAATCACTCCAGATCTCTTCACACAGACAATGAACACAAGGAGAGCCTGGAAAAGTACCATCCAAGCCCTGAGAACCAACAACTACCAACCCAGACTGGTATATTCAGCAGAGCTAGCATTTACATTAGACAGAAAAACTAAAACTTTTAATAGTAAAGAAAAAACTAAATGAATTCATAAACAATAAGCCAGCATTACAAAGAATATTAAGAGGGGGGATACAATTTGAAGAAAACAATCAAGATCAGGGATCCACATCAGACAGAGCACAGCAGGAAAGGAAAGAAGAAAAACAGGAAAGCAAGAAAATGACAGGAAACACAATGCACCTCTTTATAATAACCATAAATAATATTGGACTCAATTCACCAATCAAAAGAAAAAGAACTGCAGATTGGATCAGAAAATAAGATCCACCCATTTGTTGTCTGCAAGAGACCCATCTCACAGCTAAAGATAAAAAAACTCCTTCTGAATGAAGAAATGGAGGAAGATCTACCATGCAAATGCTCCTAGCAAGAAGGCAAGAGTTGCCATCCTGATATCCGACAAAATAAACTTTTCATTAAAATCAATACAAAAAGACAAAGGAGGACACTACATATGAATACCAGGATCAATCTAAGAAGAGGATAACACAATTATCAATTTATACTCATCAAACACTGGAGCACCCAAATACATTAAGTAAATACTCTCAGCTTACAGAAAAAAAATAGATCCAAATACAATAATACTAGGAGACTTTAAAACTCCACTCTCATCAAAGGACAGGTCTACCAACCAGAAGATTAGCAAAAAAGCCTCTGAATTAAATGATACCATAAAACGAATGGGCAGAATTTTCCACCCAACAACTCAGAACATATTCTTCTCAGCAGTCCATGGAACTTTCTCCAAAATAGATCATATAGAGTTCATGCAAGGAATTTTAGCAAATTCAAGAGAATTGACATAATTCCTTATGTTCTATTCACCCATAGTGGAATGAAGCTAATTCTCAATAACAAAGCATACTGTAGAAATTACTCAAATACATGGAAATTGAACAGCACACTTCTGAGCAACACCTGGGTCACGGAAGAAATTAAAGAAGAAATTAAGGGGCTCAAGTGGCTCAGGGGTAGAGTGCTTGCCTACATGCATGAGGCCCTGGGTTCAGTACCTCAGCACCACATAAGCAGAAAAAGCCAAAAGTGGTGCTGTGGCTCAAGTGGTAGAATGCTAACCTTAAGATGAAGAGCTGAGGGACAGTGCCCAGGCCCAGAGTTCAGGCCCACGACTGAACAAAAAAAAAAAAAGAAAGAAAGAAAAGAAAAAAAAAGAAGACATTAAAAAGTTCCTACAATTCAATGAAAATGTATATATATCACAAAGAAATCTATGTGACATAGCAAAAGCAGTCCTGAGGGACAAATTTATTGCTCTCAGTGCACACATCAATAAAATAGACAGCGGGCACTGGTGGCTCATGCCTGTAATCCTAGCTACTCAGGAGGCTGAGATCTGAGGATAACAGCTCAAATCCAACCTGGGCAGGAAAGGCCATGAGACTCATCTCCAATTAACCAACAGAAAACTGGAAGTGGTGCTGAGGCTCAAGTGGTAGAGCACTAGTCTTGATCTGAAGAGCTCAGGGACAGTGCCCAAGCCTTGAGTTCAAGCCCCACAACTGACAAAAATAAAAAAATAGAGATAGACCAAGTAAATAATCTCGTGATGCAACTAAAACTGCTAGAAAAGCTAGAAAAAAATGAACCCAAAGTTAGTAGATGGAGATAACCAAAATAAGAGCTGAAGTTAATGAGATAAAGACTACGAAAACTATAAATAAAATTACTAAAACAAAAAGCTGGTTTTTTGAAAAAAAATCAATAAAATTGACCAACTTCTGGCAAGATTAACTAAAAAAAGAAGACAGGAAATCCAAATCAATAAGATCAAACATGTAAGACATCCAAACAATTATATAGAACTATTTCCAGACTCTGTACTCATTAAGGAAGGAAAACTTAGCAGAAATGGATGAATTTGTAGAGAAATACATACTGAAATACATACTGAACCAAAAAATACATACTGAAATACATACTGAACCAAAAAGAAATAAATCAATTAAATAAGTCAATAACTCACAATGAGATAGAGGAAGCAATCAAAAGTCTTTGAATAAGGAAAAGCCCAGCTGGGCACCAGTGGCTCACGCCAATAATCCTAGCTACTCAGGAGGCTAAGATCTGAGGATCATGGTTCAAAGCCAGCCCAGGCAGGAAAGTCCTTGAGACTCTTATCTCCAATAAACTACTAGAAAACCAGAAGTGGTGCTGTGGCTCAAGTGGTAAAGCACTAGTCTTGAGCTGAAGAGCTGAGGGACAGCGCCTAGGCCCAGAGTTCAAGCCCCATGACTGATAAAAAAAAAAAGTCCAGGGCTGGGAAGGTGGCTCAGTGGTAGAGTGCTTGCCTTGCATGCATGCATGAGGCCCTGGGTTCCATTCCTCAGCACCACATAAGCACAAAAGAAAAAAGCCAGAAGTGGTGCTGTGGCTCAAGTAGTAGAGTGCTAGCTTTGAGCTGAAGAGCTGAGGGACAGCGCCCAGACCCAGAGTTCAGGCCCCACGACCGGACCCCCCCAAAAAAAAAGTCCAGTCCCAGATAGATTCAGTACAGAATTCTATAAGAACTTTAGAGAAGAACTAATACCCATACTCCTCAAGCTCTTCCATAAAATAGAAGCAGAGGGAGAAGCCAGTATCACTCATCTGCCAACCAGGAAAAGCTCCAACAACAACAAAAAAAAGAGAACTACAGACCAATCTTTGATGAA